GTGTTTCGTGTGTGCATATGTACTCGTTCGCGTCCCCCTCCCCCTCTATGTACTCCGTTCCTTTGTATTTGTCCTCCTTCTCCTCCGCGTCGTAATGCCTGTCAAACAAGTGCCTGATGTGCTGTGGCCTTTTTCCGATTAGCACCTTCCGAAACTCCTCTTTCCTGAAGAAATATGATAACCCGTCCCTCATGTTCCAAGCCTGAGCGAACCTAGAATCCGGATCGACCTGCGCGAAAATCTCGAGGTCGGAGTACACTTGACGAGCCCACGGAGTGCTATATTCGTTGGGGTCCCCATGTGCCCCCATTCGAGGCCTATCTACTGCGAGGTCCATTCGGGTACTTCCAAACATACCTGCAAGGACTTGGGCGTGTCTTTGGGGATGCTGCGCCATTTTTTGGTACCATCTGATCCGCTGGATCCTGAGCTCGACTACTGTCCGCGACAACTTGTGGTGCGCGAACACTTGCGCGTATGTCTCCCCTCTGACTTTCCCGTTTATCTCCTCTGTAGTCCCTCTGCTGAGTACGCGCAAGAAACGAATAAATACCACATCGAGCTTGTCTGTGAAGCTGCGTGGCAGTGCGAAGCCTGTAAGCCCCGATAGCCCTGCACTCTGCACGTACGCAATGAAAAGAAGTCTCCTCATCCTGAGCGGCACTGGTTCAGCCCACAGCTTTCCCAGCGATCTCCACCCAGCTCGAGCGGCACGAATGCGCCCTCGAAGCTCTGCACGCAAACTGCCGTCAAACATAATGAGAGGCCCTAGTACACGTGCCTCTCTGACAATGCTGCCTGATACCGAGCGGGATGCTGCAAGCGTCTTAACTGCTGCGAACGACCCCTTGCCTATGATGTGCGCGATGTGATTCGTTTTGCTTTCGTTGAGCGTGTGCCCCGCCGCCCCGATGCATGTGCTCAGCTTGCTTGTTGCCGTGTTTAGCTGAAGCTCCATTGCACGTGGTGACGCTTCATGTGCATGTATGTGTACCCTGGATATGTCGTCTACGTACAGCCCAATCCCAATGTCCTGTACCTGCCCTCCAGTCTCCGTCTCCTCCTCCTCCAGTACGTTGTCGCACTGCAGCCACGTGTGCGTGTGATCGTGCTCCCCTGGTTGTTGATTCCATTGCTGCACTTGCGGCGTGTATACTGCAATAAAGTCCCCTGCTGCCAATGCATGTCCCATAGTTGTGCCCCTTGCCGGTTTCATATCTAGTTCTCCATCGATGCCGTTGGCGTGCACAACTAAACCGTCGATGGCATGCTTGCACAGTTCGATGTTGTGCTCGTAGTGCGGCGCGCTGTGCACTGCTCTCAAATGTTCCCTGTCCGTGCTCGCGAACGCGTTCGTGCCATCAAAGTTGCTCAGCGTGTGACTCAGCTTCAAATCTCTGCATCGCCACATCGCACTGCTCAAGGCGAGAATGGCTCCTTCTCTCCTTCGACCTGGTATGCCTCCGTGAGCAAAAGACGGAAACTTCGGAGGTGCCCTGAGCCTGCGCGCGAATTGGCCAAACCAGCTCATGCTGCAGGAGTCGAAACCGTGCAGGGGCCGTTGTCCCTTGATCCCTATCTTCCCATTGTCCTTGCTTTGGGCGAACATCTGCGAGCGGAGGAAGCTGAGAGGAACCTGATCTGTTTCTCTAACAAGTGTGACGAACTGCTGATACTTGTGAAGAAATGCCGTAGGCGTGATGTCCACCTCCCCGCCATTTCCGTTGGGGTCCTCCAGCCTGTGGTACTCAGGAGATAGCAATTGCAGTAGCGCCTCCGCGTACACTCCCCACCTCGGGGTAGCTCTGCGCTTGGGGGCCTTCTTGAGGTAGCTGATCTGCCCTTCGAGGTCGGCGTGTGCAAGCTGGATGGCTCGGTCCCGCCCGAGAACTTTGGGAAGGAACTGCACGTCTTCGAGCGCATCGTCCCAGTTGATGGAGTTTGCTTGCATGCCGCCCTGGTGTGGTTGTAGCTGTAGTCCGTCCCGCCATTCCTCCACTGTCATGTTCTGCCGCACTGCGAAGATGTAGCGCTTCTTGGGCCCTCGGCCTGTAGATGTCAGGCTGTTCTTGATCTTGTGCATCTGCGCCCACTGCTGGTTCTTCCACACTTGTACCAGTTCGTGGAGTAGTGCTTGTCGCGTGTCGGCTGTCTGCTGTTTCCGAAGATTCTGAAGGCGCCTCGTGATCTGATACAATTGTCGCTGTATTCGTTCGAACTCCTCCTCGTTCGTGTCAGCTCCCTCGGCTCTCATCATCCCTCTGCGCCTGATCAAGTCCATGCGCTGTCTCCTGTACTCCTCGTATTATGCTGTGCGACGTGGGCCAGGAGGAAATACTTCTTCCAGGACCCGCCTGACTGCACCTGCAATGTGATCCCATACCGCCTGCACACTATTGCTCTGCATTGCCGTCTTGTAGCTGTCGTCGTCGTTCTCCAGGTGCGTCGTCACCGTCTCGAAGTACATCTGGCGGCGAGCCCCTGTAGTTTGTGCCTGCATCAGGTGGTCCCTGTGCGCTGGTGGAGAGAGCGCGTGCACACTGTATTTCTTCTTAGGAAGCACCATCTCCACATATACAGGAACATGGTCCTCAAGGGTCGCGCTGGGCTGCAGTTGGAGTTTACGCCCCAGGCGGATCAGCGTGTTCACCTTCTGAAGTCTAGCAAGCGCCGATGTGGGGCATATGAAATGGTCGATCTTGGATGAGGCACCTCTTTGGAAGTAGGTGGGTCCCGTCGTCCAGTGAGTTGTAGCTGCACTCATGTGCTGTTCTGTCGCGAACTGTCGAATCTGCATGGATACGTTGCTCTCGTACACTGGCTCGCGTACTCCAATGTGACCATCTTCTTTGATGTAGGCCACTCCCGTCACGTCCCGTCGAATGCCAAACCCGCAATTGAAGTCACCTGCGATGATTGGAAGCGTTTGATGGCCGTCTTTTCCCACCTTCTGAGTAATCCATTGTAGCATTCTTTTTGCAGTTTCTCTGAGAAGAGTCGGTGTCGTTCCTTTAGGCGGAAAGTAAACTGGGTATATACGCGACGGGGGCCTCCTATAGGAGGCCCGACGCGAGGGACACGAGGGAAGGGCAGAGGCATCTGAAAAGCGAGAGCACCGCGCGGCCGACTCCAGACGGAAGCATCTTGAACCCAAGCGGAGAAAACATCCGCCGGCCTCCGTGTGGGGCCACCAGGCTGCGCGGATTAGGCTTGCTGCTCCCTGCGCCAGTTCCTTCTGCCAATCTCCAGCGTTATCGTCCTACTTTCTACTTCACACTGAAAAGTGTTGGAGTTCACTCGAAGGGGTCAGAGGGAGGCGAAATGGACTGTGGTACCTTCCCCTGGGGAGTTGTTCTGAATTCCTGCGGGGCCCTGGGGCACGTAGAACAAGCATGATTCGCACTCCGAGGCAATAATCCGTACTACATTACCAAATGTTCGCGCCCTCATGACTACGATCCGCCGTAAATTATACAATATTCGCGTCCCCGAGGCCAAGACCTCTTGAAAATTGCGCCATAGTTGCATCCTCGACGGCACAATCCATATCGGTATGCACAAGATTCGCGTCCCGAGGCCACGGTTCTTTGCAAATCAACAGATACTCACGTCCCCAGAGCGACGATCCCTAGTAAATTACGTCGTATTCCCCCGAGACATGATCCCCAGTAAATTATGCAATGGTCGCATTCTGGAGGCCAGAAACCTTGGAACATGATACGAAATGTGAGTCACCGAGGCCACGATCCCGCGTACATTATCCAATATTCGCGTCCCCGAAGCCATGCCTCCCCTGTAAACTAATGCTCGCGTCCCCGAAGCCACTAGCACTCGTAAATTACGCCCTGTGTGCATCCCCGAAACCCTAATCATTTGACTCAAATAAACCACCTTCGCGTCCTCGAGGCCATAAACCAATCTATATGTTTGAAACATGTGAGCGTTCTCGCCCTTTCGGCTTCCCGACGCTCCAGAACGGCCCCAAAGGGCCCCACGACCAACCCAAAACGGCCCGAGAGGCTTCTGAGAGGGCCCCAAGACGGCCTATGAGCGCCACAAGACAGCCCAAGAAGCGCCCAAGACGGCCCAAGAGGGCCCCAAGACGGCCCCCAAAGGGGCCCAAGAGAGGGAGCACATACCGAAAACTCGAGCCCTCCGTCCCAAGAGGCCCCCAGGAGGCCCCAAGAGGCGCCCAGAGGCGCTCTTGGGGCCTCCTGTGGGGCCTCCTGGGACGGAGGGCTCGAACAGTTTGTTCGGGCTAGTCCTGCCGGGCACCCAAGAGGCCCCCAACAGGCCCCCAAGAGACCCCAAGAGGCTACTCAACGGCCCCCGATAGGCCTCCAAACTGCCTCCCAGAGGCACCTGAGAGGCCTCCCAAGAGATTCCAACGAACATCCAGTAGGCTTCATCACCACAACCCAGGCACGGTGGCGGGATGGGCCGAAGGCCATTCGATATCTAATTTCCAGCTCTCTGGGGGTTCGAAAGTCCTATCCTTCTCTTCCTCGAACATGAGCACCACCTGCCTCGGGCGGGTGGTGATGGGGGGTGACCCAAATTGGGGGTGAAGAAACAGGCTCTATAAAGGGGCTCTTTAGGGCCCCTTTTGGAACCAGGTGGCGCCCAAAAGGGGCCCTAAAGGCTCCCTTGGGGCCACATTTCTTCACCACCCATGTGTAGAGGGCAGAAAACCCACCCCGATAATAAACACCCCGGCACGCGAGGCCTTTAGCAAACGCGCCCAAAAAAGGAATCGAACAGGGCAGGGCTGCTTGGTAAACGCCGAGGGCCGTTTCGCAAACGCCAGCTGTCCGGTCCGGGTGGTTTCTCCTCCCTTGAATGTGGGTCACCACCCACTACCACCCGCCCGATTGCCCGACTCCGGACGGAACTATCCCGACCCCGGCATCAGCCCTGCCGAGCACGCTTCGCGGGTGCCGGCGCCAGCGCCGCGCCCAAGGCCCCCACTGCCTCGCGGACCCGGCGCTGCAGGCCGCCCATCAGCGGTATGCCGGGGCCGAGGTCGCGGAGTCCAGCGACAGTCGAGTCGGGGATCGACTGCAGAGTTGACTTATCCCAGAGTTCTCTGTCTCGTCAAAGCCACGGGAAATGCTGAGAATTCTCGGTCGATCTTCGAACATTCTATGCAGTCGTCGTAGATTCGACGGGGAAACACGGGGAAAACAAACTCGGGAGTAGATCGATTCTGTAGTCGACCCACCACTCGAGACAGGCACCCACGCGTGCCCGAAGCAGGGCGCCAGCGAGGAGCCCTCCGGCAGCAGCGGGAGCACCGGGGCTGCGTCCTGGCACTCGTGGGCGTCCCTGGCCCTCGGCTCGAAGGTCCCCGCCCCCTCCAGCAGCAGCACCCACCTTCGGGGGGGCAGCTCCTGGGCTTAGTGGGGCCTGAAAACGACAGGGCCGTTTTTTTGCCGGTTCCGTTTTTCCGTTTTTTTGCCGGTTCCGTTTTTCCGTTTTTTTGCCGGTTCCGACGCCGTTTTTTTACCGGTTCCGTCGCCGTTTGTTTTTTTATCTTTTCGGGACGCCTTTTCGGAAACGGTGAAAAACGGCCCTGCCGTTTCCGGGGCCCACTAGGCTCCTGGGTGGGGTCCTCGCCCATAGGGGAGCGACGAGTGGCATAGACATAACAATTCGGAGGTCCGCGCGGATTTCTCGGACCGGCGCTGGACCCCCTTGGCGGCGCCTCCGGCGCCGCCCGTGGCGCGCTCCGTGCGCCAGGTAGGGGGCTCCAACGCCGATCCGAGGAATCCGCGCGGACCTCCGAGTTTGTATGTTTATGTCATTGTTCTATCTCCCTAGTTTTCATGCTTGTGTCATGGTCTATCTCCCTTGTGAGAGCGATCAGGGGCTATTCAAAGCCCGATCCAGGGGCCATCAGGCCAGATGAAGCCCGAATGAGCCCGACATTGAGCCAGACTGAGCGGGAGCAGGCATTGCTGGACTGGACTGGGACGATGTTCGACCACGGATATGCCAGCGCTTGAGGGCGGCGCAGCGCGCTCGCGCGCCGTCTGGTGAAGGGTACTCTCGCTCGCTTGAGGTCTGACGTCACCCAAAAATTGCAACACTGGAAGCGGCAACCCGACTGGAGCCCTGGGCCTCATCTCCCCATCGCTCGGACGTCCATTCCCTGTGTTTTTGTCGGCTTCGCGCGTGGTTGTTTTTTTCGCCAAATGATCAAGGATGCTCCTCGATGGCCCTCGTCGAGAAAAACAAAGTGCACACGTCCGAGCGATGCCAAGACATAGATCTGCTGCAATTTTCGAGCCGGGTCGATGCGTGAGGGCCCCGGGGCCCGACACAAGGCAAGACCGCTGGCTGCGGAAAGACTGTGACGACCGGCTCTCGGGGCTCGACCCTTCGAGTAGGGGATCGACAACATAATAGATTTACCCCACACCAGATTTTCCCCCTCGGCTCTACGACGAATGCGCGGAATGTGCGTGGATGTGCTGAGAAGTCTCAGCATGTGCTGAGACTTCTTCGCATCTCCCATAGATTCGACAGGGCAATTCTGGGGTGAATCAAATTCTGCAGTCGATCCCTAAACTCCACCTCGGCAGTGGACCCCCCCAGGAGCTGCAGGCCCGAGCCCACCAGTCCACATGCGCGCCCTCGCCGAACTTCCGCAGCTCCAGCGGCGGCGGCGCGCCGAGCTCCAGCGCGCGCCGGCGCGCGGGGCCGGCCGCGCCGGCCAGGCGCCCCGGGTCCACGAGGCCCGTCTCCTCCCAGACCTCCCGGGGTGGTGCTATCGGGTCGGGCGAAAGGGGGGGGGATAGCAAAGGGGGGGGGTTGAGAATCAGCTCGCGTGGCTGATTTTCCCGGCGCCTCCCGGCGCCAGAGGCGGCTATGTATCGAGGAATGGGCCCCTCGGTGAGGCCGAAATCAGCTGCATGCAGCAAATTTCGTAACCCCCCCTTTCCCAATCCCCCCCTTTCGCCCGGCCCTTCTGGCGCAGAGGTGTCCCCAGCCTCCCGCGTCGTCTCGGACCCCCGGGGGCCTTCGGGGCCTCGTGATGGCTGCCCTGGAGCGGTGACCCAGCCACCTGATGCAGTCCTCCATCCTTTAGGGTCGTCTGCTCCCGCCGATGGCAAGCCTCCTCGGGAATCCTGGGGGCACCTTGGGCCAGCGAAGCAGCGAAGCAGTTGTCGGGGAGCGAACAATGACATAAACCAGCCATGAACGTAAAAACTCGGAGGTCCGCGCGAATCTCTCAGATCGGCGCTGGACCCCCTTCCCTGGCGCGCGGAGCGCGCCGGGGGCGGCGCCGGAGGCGCCGCCAAGGGGGTCCAGCGCCAGTCCGAGAAATCCGCGCGGACCTCCGAATTTTCATTCTCATGTCATGCTTTGTCCCCCTATGGGCAGCACCCGAGCCTCGCGCAGCGCGGTGTCGCGGCTGTCGCGGTCCGAGCGGTCGCGCATGCCGCCCACCGTGGCCAGGTGGCCGGGCATCACGGGCATCTCGCGGGAGCGGAGCTGGAGGAGCACGCGGGGCCCTCCGCCCGGCCGGCCCTCCTCCACGCGCGTCAGGATGACGACCTTGAAGGGGCCCCAGGACACACAAATAAACACACACAAATAAAAATAGCCCCCATATTTCCAATATTTTCTGGGTTCCTGTCTTCCCCCCCACTTCCCATATTTTCCCATATTTTCGGAGGAATCGAGGATTAATTGTGTCTGTGTGTTTCTTTCCCTCCTGAGACCTGGGCGTTCTTCTGCCGCGGCTCGCCGCCAACGCCCTGGCAGAGGGCAGCTCCGACTGGGCGAGCGGCGCGAGGTGGCTCGGCCCGCCCGGCTTCTGCAGCGAGCGCGCCGCCGGCGAGGTCGGTGGCTCTGTCCCCCTCCTCCTCCTCCTCCTCTCCCTCCCTCCTCCTCCTCTCCCTCTCCTCTCCCTCCTCTCCTCCTCCTCCCTCCTCCTCCTCCTCCTCCTCCTCCTCCTCCTCCTCCCCCTGGATGCTCGAACCAACAGTCCGATCGCCAGCAGCGGGAGCCGTAACGGCACGGTATCGCCATGGTGCCGGGCGGCGAAGCTGGCAGAGGCCACGGGACGCTATAATCAGCATGCATTTGAGCCACTGACGGACACTCGTACGACGTATGTACTCGACGACTTTGGTTGAAACCTCGGCGCGAGAGAGCAGGTCGGTGCTGCTGCAAATGTGGCGTGTCGGCTTCCACGACAAGTTTTACGTGGCAGTCGTGGTGACCACGTAACTTAGCCCTGCTGAACGCTGGGGTAGGGACTGTGTACATGTGGTTGCAGCTGTATGTGAAGCATCGTACGTCTGTCTGCACAACGGTATGGACTGGTGGCTGCACGTGAAAACATGCCACGGCTTGCTAGTGCATGCGTGCGACGGTGCTCTCATGATGGCGAACCACCCCTTCCTCTTTCCTCCCTCTCCTCCCCACCCCCGTAGTTGTCACATCCCGTTCTCCTCACATCTATCCCTCCTCCCCTTCCCTGCTGCTGTTGCTTCTGCCGCTCCTCCTGCTGCTGTTGCTTCTGCTGCTGTTGTTCGTCGTCCCTTCCCCCTTGGCTACACGGCAAACCTTTCTCTGGCATGACACAGACGGGTCCCAAGGGAAGGAATCCTGGACCCCAGGGCCTTCCTTCAGGACAGCTTCTTCACGTCGAGCTGCTTTTTGCGGTCCTGTGGCCGAGGGGGGGGGCCCCGTGAGCCCTCGAGCGGCACGTGGCCTCAGGACGTCTTCCCCGCAGGGCCCGCCTGCCTCACGGCGAAAAAGAGAACGCCCAGGACCGGCGCCAGGGCGCTCGGCAGGGCGGCCCGCCGGCGTCGAGTAGAAGCCCGTCGCGACCTCGGGGGCCATGTACAGCACCTGGCGCGCGCGCGCCGGCACGGAGGCTCTCGAGCGAGCCAGCCTTCAGGGCCCTCCCCGGGGGGCGTGTACCCACTTGCACCACCAACGCGTGGCGACCATGCTTTCCCCTACCGGATCCTCGAGCCTCCCTCGTGCACGCCAGCACGGGAGCGGCGCGCGAGGCCCGGCGCGCCACCGGGCGAGGCCTGGCACACGCCACAAGGCAAGCAAGCCGGCACGCGGCGGGGCGCCCCGCCACGGTGCGCGGCCGCCGGTCGCCCGGGGCGGCCCTGGTCCTGGGCTCGGGGCCGATGTCCGCAGAGGACCAGCCCCCCGCCCCCCCTTTGCAAGGGGCAGTCCCCCTGGCGCCCCGCGCGCGGCGCCAAGGGCCGCGCGGCGGCGGCAACCACGACGACGACGACGACGAATGCAGGCGACGACGACGACGACAAAGACGACGACAAAAAAGACGACGACAATGACGACAAAGACGACGCACACGGCGACTGCGACGACGACGACGACAACTGCGACAACGACCGAGGCGACAACGACGACGACGACGACGACAAGCCACGACGACGAAAGCGACAAGACCGACGACGTCGACCACGACCACGACCACGACCACGACCACGACCACGACCACGACGACGACGATGAGGGCGAATGCGACGGCGACGGCGACGGCGACTGCGACGGCGACGGCGACGGCGAAGGCGACGACGGCGGCGGCGGTGGCGGCGGCGCGGGCCCCGCCAAAAATGCAGCTGGCGTCCCCTGCAGGGTCCGCCCCTGTACAGTCAGCTTGTGATTCACAGGAACGGGGGCGGCCAAGAGGGGGGTGTCCAAGAGGGGGGGTGCAAATCATGGCCGGCGGCACGTGCGCGGCCCAGGGGGTGGCCAGGAACGTAATAAGTAAGAAGAGGCGACATGACACCTGGGGAAATATCATGGCCCCCGCCATGATATCCCACCCCCCCCTACTCATCACCCCCCTCTTTTCTGCCCCCGACAGGAACATGGGGGGGGCGCGTGGTTCAATCAATGATTCCTCTGCTCGGGCGAATCGCGGGGGGGGGGGGCGCCCGAGGTCGACCGCCTGGACTCGATCGACTGCGGCCCGCCCGTCGCCGTCTGCATGGCCCAGCCGCGCGGACACCTGCTGGGCGAACGTCGTTGGGTTGAGCTTCGCCGATCGCGTTGGCGGCCGCCCCGCGGCCTGGATTTGCCTGGGACTGGGCGCTGCCCGGGGCAGGGGAGGCGCCGCCGAGAAGACCCGCGAGCGTGGTCGCCTGCCGCTACAGCTCCGCGGCCTCGTCCTCAGCGAAGGGGTCGTACAGGAGCGCGTCGTCCCACGCCCTGTCCAGGACTGGGCAGGCTCGTATGAAAAGGGGCCACCTGGCATGCCGCCGCCAAGACGGTTACGTGCGCCAGGTGCGCCGACGCGGCGCGTTCCCGAAGTGGCTCCGTCGGTCAACTTCGCCAGGGGGACGCGGCGGTGCCAGCGGATGTTCGGGTCGTCGTCGTGCTTGGCCGCCACCTGGGGAAGCTCGATATCGAGAGCCATCTGGCGCGCGGCCGCCGCCATCAAACCCGGCGGTTGCGCGGCAGCCAAGGGCCCCCTTCGGCCGGCGTCGCCGAAACCGGAGCGACCGGACAGCTCGGCGCCAGCAGCGCAGGAGGACCAGCAGGAGCAGGACCACCAGCAGCTCGAAGGCGCCAACGGGGCCCTCGCCAAATCTGGCGCCGCCCGCGGCAGACCCGGCAGGCTGGCCGCGACCCCGCAGCCCGCGGGCGGTGGCCCCGAACAGGCCGAGCGTGCCCAGCAAGAGGAAGCCGAGCGTCGCCCCGACGCGCGGCCGCCAGCAGATGTCCGCGCAGGTGAGGGGGGGGCAGGCTGGACAGGCGGGCGCCGCTAGCGCCGGACACGCCGGGATGACCGACGCCGCGCAGCCATGGCGACCCTGGGCTGCTCGGGGTCGACAGCCCAGCCAAAATCCCGCCAACGCGTTCAATGAGGCGGAGAACGCGGTAGAAGGGCTGGAGCGAAGCATACACTGTTTTGGCTCGCCGGGAGAAAACAGCTTGGGCCTAAACATTCTACAACATTGGGGGCGGCTAAGATGATGGGAGCGCTGCAGTGGCACGTTTCCAATCTATGTGTATGTGTGTGCGCGTGTGTGCGTGTGTGC